TATGTGTGTGTGACCCTGGACCACAAAACCAGTCATAAGTAGCACGGGTATATTTGTTATGGGTATATATATTGTATGGGTCAAAATTATCGATTTTTCTTTTATGCAAAAATCATTAAGTAAAGATCATGTTCCATGAAGATATTTTGTAAATTTCCTACCGTAAATATATCAAAACTTAATTTTTGATTAGTAATATGCATTGCTAAGAACTTAATTTGAACAACTTTAAAGATGATTTTCTCAATATTGTTTTGTTTTTTTTTGCACCCTCAGATTCCAGATTTTCAAATAGTTGTATCTCGGCCAAATATTGTCCTATCCTAACAAACCATACATCAATGGAAAGATTATTTATTCATACTGATTTTAAAAAATGGACCCTTATGACTGGTTTTGTTGTCCAGGGTCACATATTGTCTTTTAAACCTCAGATGAGCTGATCTTTGCTGATCTGGAATCACAGCAGACGGTCAAACCTGTACGTCTGATCAAAACCACACTAAACACTGGAGCACAGAGGGGATGAAGGGAACAATGGCTCAAACGAACTTATTATATGTAAGCACTAAGCATAAGTTCCTCAAAGAGCAATGAGCACCATAACCGCTGTTAATGGAGGATTCAACAAACTCAATGACTGAAACCCCCTCTAGTGGAAAAACCATGTGACTTCCTTTAATTACAGTTTTTTTTTTTGCAACTGCTTACACAAATTTTCAAAACTTTGCCTCACAAATCCAAGAATTGCACACACAAAATGCAAAATGCCTCACATCTTTTGCGAAATGAAGCACTGCATTCAATATATAACAAACACATCTCAAAACCAAACATTTGTTTTACGTTGCAAACACCTTTGCCATAATATTATATTTTTGGATATGTCATATACACACAGTTATTCAGAACCTAAAGCTTTTCTTTCATGAGCTCCTGAGTACATTTCTGTTCAAGACTGAAAGTAATTTGCAGAGAGATGTTGAAAAATTCACGGTAAACACGAAAGCAAGATTGAAAGCAAACTTTTTTTACTGTAAGCATTTGTGGTTGTGAATACAGTATTACACAGTACAAAAGAAAAGAAACACATCAAGCATGTGTAGTTGTGTAGATGTGTGTTTATAGGCCTGTTCTAAAGCATGATTGGTTGGTTTTCAGGTTAGCACATGTGAGGAGTTAGTGATGAATTAGTGTGGCATTTTGATTGGTTGTGTTTGAAGAAGAAAATCAAGATACTTCCTGTTCGATTTTTGTGTGTTACATAGAGAACTGTGTGTTGTGTTTTGCAAAAAGTGTTTTATGAAATTGAAAACAGTCAAAGGCCGAGAATTAGTGTATGGTTTTGCAGATTTGGTGTGTGCTTCTGCTGTTTGAGTGTCAGCTTTCAGAAATTGTGACAAGTAAAGATTTTGTGTGTAAGCAGTTGAAGAAAACTGTAATAATTCAAAATATTAAAAAACATATGAATAATTCAAAAATTACAATGCTGGGGACAAATGTGTCCCTAAAGTATGGTTAAGGTGGACACACACACACACAACAAACACACATACATACACAA